CTCCCTTTTCTCCTCCTCTTGCCACTCCTCCATCACTTCCCACTCTCTCCCCCTTCGCTCTCCTCCTCCTCCCTCCTCCCCACCTTCCTTTCTGTATTTCCTCTCTCCTATCTCCCCTTTCTCCCAGTTCCCTTAGTCCTAATTCTCTCCTCTCTTTCCCCGTTCCCTTCCCATCCTCCTTCCCCCTCTCCTCTTCCCTCCCTCATCCTTTTGTCTCTCTTCCCCCATCCTGCCACCTCCCCCTCCCCTGTCCTCCTCCCTCTTTTGCCCAGCTTCTCTCATCTCCCTGTCACCCCTCTCCCCTCTTCTTTCTACTCTCTCACTTCTCCCTTCTTTTTAATCCTCCCCCCACTCCTCCCTGCCCCCCTCCCTCTCTGCTCTTTCCCATCCTCTAACCCTTCCCTTCTTTCTCCTCATCCTGTGTTCCTAGTATCCTGTCACTTTCCCATAGCTCCCTCTCTTTCTCATCTCCCTTTACCCCCTTCCCCTTCCTCTCTCCCCCCACCCCCTCTTCCCTCTCCACTTCACCCCTTTCTCCCTCCCCATCCCTTCTAGTTCCTCTCTCCCTGTTCCCCACCCTAGTTCTGCTGTCTCCCCTCTCCCCGGCTCCAAGGGTGAGATATGTACGTATAAAATGGAAAAGGTAATAAGAACTTAGTCTGAATCAATATAATATAAATCTCATTACTTATTACAGTTAAGAACATGACTATTCAGCTGGGTGTGGAGGTGCATACCTTTAGTCCCAGCACTAGGAGGTAGAGGTAGCTGGATCTCTGTGAGATTGAGGCCAGCCTGGTCTATATAGCGAGCTCCAGGCCAGCCAAGGCTACACAGAGAGACCCTCTGTCTCAAAAAAATGAAAGGATATGATGGGGGGAGGTGCAGGTAGAGAACGGTATCTAAATAACATCAAGCTATACTGTATAAAGTTGTAAAAATTCAATAAGAAATAAATTATAACTATAATTTGATAATTATAATTTGTGAAGCCAAGTAGCAGTGCTTTCTCATAGGCAGTCCAATACAGAAATTAGGAAAATATGATGTGCTCCCAAAGAATTGCTCGGTAATTTGTGAGAACGAGAAAGGAGAGTTGGTGCACCGAAACCCCACTGAATGATTGTGTAACTAGATTGTTCATAACCAAAACGGTAGCCAGCTTTGGCTTTCTGGCCAAGACAGATCTAGCTGGAGGTGCTTTACATCAACCAAATAATTAAAGACATCGACCAGTCAGTGAGAAGCGACAAGTCTGGACTGCTGATGCAGGCAAAGGGAATGATGGTGCACTGCTCACATATCTGAGTCAGGGTACCACCACCACCAAACCCTCCTATAAGGATATGACAGAAATTTTGGCTTTTTGCTTCCTGTATTTTTCTACTAAGGGAAAAATTTTAATTTTATAGATTAAATGTCATGGAGAGTGAATTTGTGTATGTACCCACCCTGAAAGGGATGCAAAGAGGCTTATATGTGTAATAAGAACTAAATGAGCAATCTAATTTCTACCCTCTAGGTAAGAATTTCTGTATCTGCTGTTTGACAACCACTAGAGATAAAATAGACTCTTAATGTAGCACTATACAGCTGTGGGCCCTTTTCCCATGTGACAGAATGCTGGTAAGCCCAGTGTTCTGTAGGTCTTGTTTTGATTATCTGAGCTTCTGTGAGCTCAGGAGAGCAAAGGTGATGCCACGCTCTAAAGACAATCTCTCTCATCTCTCTCTCCCCTCTCCTCAACTTGCCTGGAATTCACTGTGTAGACCTGGCTGATCTCACAAAGATCCACCTGCCTCTCCCTTCCAGCACTAGGATTAAAGGCATGCCCTACCACACCTGGACTCTTACATTCTCTTTAAGAATAAAATCTTTTTGTGTATGTGTTGGGGGTGGGGGAGGTGAATATGCACTGGAGTGCTGGTGCCTGCAGAGGCCAGAGGCATTGGATTCTGCCTTACCCCCACCCCCTAGCTGAAGTTCCAGGCAATTGTGTGGGTCTCATCCTCCCCTAGAGCAGAAAGCACTCTTCTTAACATGCTGAGCCGGCTCCCCAGCCCAGCGCTCCCACATTCTTGCTGTGCATTCTTTCTGTGATGTTTCCTGAACTTTGGAGGGGGTGATAAAGATGTCTTGTTTATGGGTGAGCATTCAACAGTCCCTTAGTCTCAGCACTTTGACCAATTATGATTCGCTGTAGGTACTGCTGTGCCCACTACAAAAAGGAGCTTCTTTGACAAAAGCCAATAGCAACACTAATCTATTGGTACTTAATTGTGAGGCATGAGATACTTTCAATTAACATTTATAAAGAACCAGGTGTGTCTGCACACACCTGTAACCCCAATGCCTGGAAGTTCAAGCGGCATAAGAGCCCCTGTGTGTGGAGCTGCCTAGCAAGCCTTGAAAGTGCAACTCTGCCCCCTGGTGGTTTGAAGTGCTTACATCACAAAGCCACAGACAACTCTCCAGGTTGCTCCTAAGGCTTCCCTCCGTGCACAACAGTGGCAGAGGTCTTCCTGGGTTGCACAAAGCAGCCTCCCCAAATTTCCTGATGCTTTTAGGATGCAGTATGACAAGAGGCTTGGTGCACAGTTTTCTGTTTGTGCACCTTTTAATGATTTTATTAGTGTGGTCACAAGTTTGACATTTATAGTACATATGTTAACAGAGCTGAAGACAAATATTTGAAATTAGTGAATTACGTGTGGCAAGTTTTAAAATGTCAACTCTGAGTGATCATGCAAGTCTCACGTATCTTCACAAGCACCCCTCACCGCAGGACCCACTTTGTGCTCATCCTCACTAGGTCTGGGTGCACCCCTCCGCTTGGTTGGGGCAGGACCTCTGTGTCTTTGTTCAGATCCAGATTTTCAAGAGCAATAGTGTAGAACCCTTCCTGTAGAACCCTTCCACGAAGCATGGTGGAACACCAGGTTTCAGCTTCTTGGGATAACAATGCAATGACTGACTACTGCTTATGACACCTCTGATCCTGAGCTCGGCTAACAGAAGTTCTAAGGTCTCTGCGCAAGGCCACCAGTGTTTCCTCCCAGGGGACGTCTAGAAGTGAGGCGCACAGTCTTCCAACATGCTGTCAGTGATGTAGCTGGACCCAAGGTGGGATTCATAGTAATTTTTTTCATCAAAGGTATTGACAGTCCAACTAATAACCTGGATTCCTTTAGATGACCACTTCTTCAAATAGTCCCTGGAGAAAAGAGAAAAATCAACTGTGTTAGAATGAACAGCTGTCTCAGGAATCTAGCGTGGTCAAAGCACGGTCAAGAGTACAGGGAACCTAGCATGCCCTGTGCCTTCTCCCTGATATCTCAGCTTCAAAACACTTCAGACACTTACCAATGACCACACCCGCCTCCAAGGACCTTAACACTGTGAGTCAGACAGGAATGGGCCTGCCTCTGGTCTCCTCTTATACCACACGGCCTCTTTCTGTATTACAGACTTTTTAAAAAAATATTTTATTATTTTTATTTTATGTGTATGAGTGTATTGCCTGCATGTAAGTGAGTGCACCCATGTCGTGCAATGCCGCAGAGGTCAGAAGAGGGCTTCAGATTCCCCTGGAACTGGTGTTAAGGACAGCTCATAGCCACCATGTGGGTGCTGAGAGTCGAACCCTGGTCCTCTGCAAGAACAGTCAGTGCTCTTAACCGCTGAGTCATCTCTCCAGCCCACAGAAGACTTTCAATCCCCAGAGAGAACATGCTCCTCCACAGCACACTGCATGAGCTTGTCTCTCCCCAACTCCTCATTCTAGCTCAATAAACATTATCCTAAGATTTTTCCTCCTCCCTTTCTTCTTTGCTATTTACAGGCATAATTTTGTTTCCTCCTGGCACCCTACCCATGTATCTTAATGACTAGCTGTAGAATTCGTTAGTAGATACTGACCCTTTCCTTGTGTGTTCCCCATTTCCAGGTTATAGGAAAGGTCACCCCTGCTTGACCGATGCTGAAAAACTGGTATTAGCCCAGGAGTCCCCATGCTATGTTGTTTGGAGCAATTTCACTGTTCTCCTGAGAGCTTTCATTGGAAGCTGAGTGTGTGACGTTCACACAGAGTTGACATATGGTAAGTGCTCAACACAGGAATTCCCATTATAATGGTGAGAAAGCAGCGCACCCAAGGCCCAGGAACAGGCCTCCTTAGATGTATGCAGAAGCATAAAAGGGGCCACACCACACTGGCATTCCAAGGTCAGCTGTCTAACTGGTCTTCTTTCCCAGCATCCTGGGAGCAGACTGCCCCCTCCTCAAGCCTTTATATCAACAAAGTTCAAAGAAGTCTGTTAACTCTTAGTGAGCTAAGTGACAGGGGCCTGTTAACCATTAGTGAGCAGAATGCTACTTTCCTTAAAGGACAAGGAGGGGGTCACGACAGTCACAACTAAAGTGTAGCTGCCTTGTGCAAACCAGACATTCACAGCTTCAACAAGCCTGTAACAATCATTTCCTCAGATTCACAGGTCCACAATGGCTCAGTGACCTCCAGACAGAGACAAATGGCTCACACTCCACATTCTAGAAAAGCCTATTTCTCAAGACTAATGAACTACCCTGCTGCTCAGGTGCCTGAAGCTGAGATAACACCTTCAACAAAAGATGCCCCGTAACCCTTGTGGTGATGCCAGGCAAGACATAGGTGTGACCTGCTCCATCTCCAACATGCCAAGACCACTGCTCATAAAACTCTTTTTCTCCATCACTTGGTCTCAGATTATTGGTCCTCTCAGGTAGCAGCAGAACTAGACTTCATTTACTGTTTGACTGATTGACTGAGGTATTGGGATTGAACCTAGGGGCCTCATGCACTCTGGGAAACACTCTACTACTATGAATATCCCCAGATATATTCATATTCCTCTCTTCACTTTTCATTTTCACACAAGTTCTCACCATTACCCAGGCAGGCCTTCAACTTACAATCCTCCTGCTCCAGCCTCCAGAGTAGCTGAGATTTCAGGTTGGTGCCAGCAGGTGTAGAACTGGACAGAATTGGACAAAGTACAAGGTCTATGCATTCTGTTGTCTCCTAAGCCTATGACTCAGTTAGAGTGTTTTTGATGGGTCTGAGTGTGGTATATGCACATATGTGTAGGTACACACCCCTGTGTGTGTATGCATGTGTGTGAAGGCCAGAGGTTGATGCTGGATGTCCTCCTAAATTACTCTCCTCTTTATTTTCTGAGACAGGATCTCTCACTGAACCTGGCAAACCCCCAGAATCTGCCTGTTTTTGTTCTCTGAACACTGAGGTTACAGACACATACCACCATGCCTGGCTTTTATATAAGTGCTAGGGATCTGAACTCAGGTTCCCATGGCTTGTGCAAAAAGCACTTTAACCATTAAGCCATTAAGCCTAGCCCTCAGCTGTAGTTTTTTGTTTTAAATATTTTTATTGATTCTTTGAGAATTTCTCTTTGTGTATGTGTGGGGGGGTCTTTTTGAGGCAGGGTCTCCCTGTAGCCCCAGATGGCCTGGAACTTACTGAGTAGACCAGGCTGACCTTGAACTCAGGAGAGATCCGCTTGCCTCTGCCTCCTGAGTGCTTGGATTAAAGGGGTGCACCACCACAGCAAGAATTTCATACAATATATTTTGATCATATTCAGACCTCCTCTCCCATCTCCACTCCCAATTCACCACCCCCCACCTCATGTCCTCTATTCTTTTTTACTTTAAAAGGCTGATCAAGTCTAATTTGTGTTTCCAAATGCTCTTGGGTATGGATCCATCCCTTGGGGTCTGGTCACCTACCAGACATCACACCCTTAAAGAAAACTGACTTTTCTTCTCCTGGTAGCTATCAACTGCCAAAAGATCCTCAGGTAGGGCTGGGGCTTCTTGTCCACCTTCCTATCCATGCTGGGTTTTTGTCTGGCTTGGGTTTGTACAGGTCTTGTGCATGCTGCCATAAACGCTGTGAGTTCATATGTGCAACTGCCCTGTTGTATGCAGACAACATGGTTTCCTTGATTCATCTACCTCTGATTCTTACAATCTTTCTGCCCCTCTTCCACATTGATCTGTGAGCCTTGAGAAGAGAGAGTGTGATATAGATGCCCCATTTAAGGTTGAGTATGCTGCAGCTTCTTATTCTCTGTACACTGACCACTTGTGGGTCTCTGTTAATTGCCATCAGCTACAAGAAGCTTTTCTGGTGAAAGCTGAGAGATGTACTAATCTATGGTATATTTACTCAATTTATATTTGATTAGCATTTCTGTCCTACTGGACATTAACCTGCAGGAGAGCATGGGAACATGGCTTCATTTTTTCAACACTGCACTAGCTGAACGGAATATACGTGAATGTTGGAAATGCTGTGGCTCTCTGCCCTGCATCCTGTCTAGTTTTCCTTTTTTTTTTTTGGTCTTTTTGAGACAGGGTCACCCTGTAGCCCCAGCTAGCCTGGAACTAGCTATGTAGACCAGGCTGGCTTCGAACTCAAGTCTACCTGCCTCTGCCTCCCACTCTGTCTAGTTTTCAAAGGGAGCTGATAATAAGAAATGCAGTATTTCTCTTATCACTTCCCCCCCCCTTTTTTTTTTTCACTAAAATGCAATAAAAGTCGGCACTAGGCGCCTGGAGAGATGGGTCAGTGGTTAAGGACACTAACTGCTCTTACAGAGAACACAGGTTTGATTCCCAGCATCTACATAGTGGCTAACAATGGTAGGTAACTCCAGTTCTAGGGAATCCAACACCCTCTTCTGGCTTCCATGGGCACTGGATACATGGGTGTACTTATATAATACATGCAGGCAAAACATTCATACACATGAAATTTTTTTATTTTTTAATTTAAAAATATTATTTTCATCGTATGTATGTGAGTGTATTGTCTGCCTGTAAGTGCACCCGAGTCGAACTGGAGTTTCGGATGGTTGTTGGCCACCATGTGGGTACCGGGAATTGAATCCAGGTCCTCTGCAAGAGCAGACAGTGCTCTTAACTGCTGAGCCATCTTCCCAGTCCCATAAAAATTTAAAAGTAAAAAATAAATTAAAAACCTGGCTAGGGAGATGGCTCAGTATAAAATGCTTGCCATGCAAAACAAAACAAAACAGAAACCAAAAAGGTGGGTAATGACGTGAGCTATGTTTTGTCAGTTCTGTCACACGTCCACACAGGCATCAACAACTTATGGTACATGATGAATATGCCATAATAAATTGCATTATTTTAAAAATAACAACAAAGTGCTTGTCATGTAAGCATGAGGACCAGAGTTTGGGCCCCCAGCACCCACATAAAAGCCAGGAGACAAGGCAGTTGACCTGTAATCCCAGCACTCAGGAGGTGGAAACAGGATCCTAAGGAAAAGCTGACTAGCTGGGCTAGCTGAATCACCCACCCTCCAGGTTCAGCAAGAGATGCCGTCTCAGCAAATAGCATTGGGAAGACACTCAAAGTCAACCTCTGACTTCTACACGCATGCACACACATGTATGACCACTATAAAATCAAATATCTGATCAGCCTGTTTTCAGTCAATGAAATAAATCTGACATCTTCCCACCATAAAAGCTGGTGCTGTTGTACTAGTCAGAGGCACAGTGGGCTTTGAGGGTGGCAACCACTCCAGTCTACCCACTTGTTTAATCCTTCCTTCCCAGAAAGACATGTGAGACCAGGAGAAAACTCCTTCCAACTTACGGGGAGATGAAATCCTTCTGCATGAGGAAAGCTGAAATTCCACACAGGTACCACAAGACATTGTGCATGCTCCAATCCAGCAGGATGTCCATCACCACAAACACGGACTGCTTCCAGAAAGTATTGTATCGAGGCTTCCCATCTCCCGTATGGCTCAGGCTCCAAGGTCTGTGCGTTAGAGCTGTTATTACTTTCTGATCTGTTTTTCTCATCTGAAAAGGGGATTTTGGAAAATAAAAATGATCATCTCAAGTCCAGTCTACAATTCTCAATACTTTAAATTGAGCCAAAAAGCTCAATTTGATGAGGTGGCAATAGTGCTGGGTCCCATGTCTACTAAGAATGTTCCCCTCTCACAAATCCTTTGAGAAAATATACAATGGATGTAAGGTGTTTAATATGCAGTATAACTGAGGACATATTTTTCACAGTCCTACAAGAGCTATACTTGGAGCCGTGAGTAAATGACTGGGGAAGGAGCTCAGTGGCAGAGTGGCAGCATGCATGAGGCCCTGGGTTCAATCCTCAACACACAAACAGGAGGCCAGAGAAAATGACTTCAGGGCCAATTTTTGTTTGTTTGTAGACAGGGTCTCATTCTGTAGCCCAGATTAGTCTGGAACTGGTACCAATCCTCCTCCTCAGCCTACCAAGTGCTGGGATTACATGTGTGCACCACCATGCCTAGCTTTCAGGACCACATGAAGATAATGAATCAGAGCTTAATGAGGATAGAACCATGATCATTTTAAGCTAGGCTGGCTGATGTGCAGCCTGTTCAGGACAATAGGCAGAAGGGAGGTGAGAGAAGAGGGTGGTGATGAGGCTGGGGAGAGGGCAGAGCAGAAAGAAAGGAGGTGTGGAGAAGTCCTTCAGGCTGTGCTCTCAACTCTTTTGGAGAATGTCTTGCACATTCTAAGCCTTCTGTGCTCAAGTAAGCTTGGGAAGCAGGTTCCAAGTACCTGGAAGCCCAGTAGCCCTCTTCTCCCTGTGCCAGTTTGTACTGGCAGAGGTCCTACCCCACTGCAAACACCTCAGACACCTGCACCGTTGATCACAGTTGAAGAATGCCACAGCAGAACTCATTATTTGGTATTTGCAAATATTATATTTGTAGGCTAGTAAACAAAGGGAAGTATTAAGCATTTATCCTGTCTATTGGGTAACCAAATGGTAGAGTAGGAGAGGTCCCATTTATAAATTCTAGCTAACTAAACTAAAATATCAACATTTCACAACTTCCCAGTAAACTGACAGACCTGGCAGAAGAGTACCAGGAACCCATAACAAGCGCTGCAGCAGCCCACCAGATGAAGCATGCCTTCTGATGGGCATACCCTCTCCCTAGGACATGGCCTTGCTAAGAACAATCACCCTTCATCAGGTCCATAGCTCTCTTTACAAGTTTATAGGCAGCAAAGAGTTGGGAAGTCTATAAAATCACATTAATCATCAAATCCAGGCATCAATAAATCCTATAGCACAAATAACTTCAGAGCTGGGGATGCAGCTGAGTGGAAGAGCACTTGCCTAGCATGCAACCCAGGTCCTGGGCTCAACACACATATACATAAATCTAGTTTCTCTAATAAACACATGAGGCGGGGTGGGGGGGGAGGTGGGGAGCGATGAACTTACAGATTTTAAGTCTTATAATGAACACCTTATTTCGGTACTGATCCTGATAATCAAAATTTAAAAATAATTTAATTTCTATTTTTCTAACTCTTGGTATGCTAAGTAAGGGCTTATTAGGGAAGACCAATGGGGAAAGAGAAGAAACAAGCTGGTTCATGTTAAAGGGGATTCATTGTATTACTATATTTTTATGTATATGAGGGTTTTTAAAATTTATTTATTTGATTTGTATGAGTGTTTTGCCTGTATGTATGTAAGTGTACCATGTGTGTAAAATGCCCATGAAGGCCAGAAGAGAGCATCAGATGCCCTGGAACTGAAGTTACAGACAGTTGTTAGCTACCATGTGGGTACTGGGAATTGAACCTGGGTCCTCTGCAAGAGCAGTCAGTGCTCTTAACCACTCACTGGCTATCTCCCCAGACTTGGGATCTGTTTTTTGAGACAGAGTTTGATTATGTAGTCCAGGCAGACCTCAAAATTCTCCCACCTCAGCCTCCTGAGTGCTGGGATTATACACCACACCAGCAAGAGTTTTTGTTTTTGGTTTTTGAGACAAAGTCTCACTCTGTAGCTCTGGCTGACCTGGAATTCACTATGAAGACCAGGCTGGCCTTGAACACAGAGATCTGCCTGCTTCTCCCTCCCAAGTGTTAGGATCAAAGGCATGTGCCACCATGTCCAGCTTTAAGGCATGTTTTACTGTTGTCTTTTGTTTTGCTTGTTTTGTTTTGGGTCTTTATTGAGACAGGGTCTCCCTATAGCCCCAGCTGGCCTGAACACACAGCGATCCACCTGCCCCTGCCTCCTGAGTGCTGGGATTAAAGGCATGCGCCACCATGCCGGGTATATAGTTATTTTTTGAGAGGTAGGGTTCTAGTCTGAGAATGTTTACCAAAGGAATCTGAAAGAGCCTGTGCCTACCTGAGAGAAGGTGTTCAAAAGAAGAAGGGCAGTATTCTAAAGCCCATGGGGAGACCATTCCCCTTGGGGGTTTCTCTTGTTAATTTAAGTGAAGAGTTTCTTGACTAAGACCTTCAGTTGGTTCAATGTGACAGGCATCTATCTGATGCGTACAGAGCCCATTGCTACTATCTCTAGCCATTTATCTAATATGACCAGAAAAATCCTGCACTTTACCTTATAGATAACGTCTGGCAAGAAGGAGCAAACTATACTACTATTGTATAGTTGTGGGAATTCCATATATATATTCTTAAGAGCATCAGCAGCCTGTATAACAAAGAATCACAAAGTTAAAATCAGAACATGATCATCCAGTAGGTAGCTATTATATACTAACTGCAAAACCCAGTGAGTAGATGGAAGCTTGTTAATGTTGAAAGCAGTAGCCACCCACTGACGCTCAGATGCATTTTAAACATACCAGCAGAAGTGAGGCAGCCAGGGCACAGCTGCATCACCACCATCTTGAGAGGCTCACTGAGGGCCACACTCAGGACAGCACAATAGGCTGTAGGCCTGGAGGGGGCTGGAGGCAAAATTGTAACCCCTTCCTCAGATACTGGTTTAACCACTAGGAAAAGTCCTTTCATGCCCACCATCTGCCTAGCCCAGGTGAAGTCTGAGACTCTCAGTTGGGGACTTCAGAGGGTGATCTGCTCAGGCCAGGGGAATGAAAGACTCCACCATCTATTCTGGAGAACACAGGAAGTGATGTATGAGGATGAAGAGTATGGGCAAGAGCTGGACATCTCCCAACTCTCCCCAGTGAACACAAATCTCTTTCTGCAGCAGTCAAACTAATAAGCAAGGAAGTAATGAAATACTGCTAATTCTGGAATGTGGCACATACCCCTACCCAAAGATGAGCAATAAACTTCACTCCTTCAAAGTAAAGAACACAGAAATTCTGTGTTAGGCCCCTCTGTTAGGTAAGTCGTAAGGTACAGGCCTGAGCTGTACAGGTACAGGTATAAGCTGTCACCTTGCTGTGGGAATTAACACCCGCTCCTCACTTCCAGCACTTACACCCCCACACCCCCATATGGTAGATTCTGTCGCCATTCCCACTTTGTCCACAAGGAACTAAAGCGTGTCAAGGTTACCCCGTGGCAAGTGCACAGCTCAGTCAAGGTCTGCTGGACTCCAAAGCCCATGATCTTGGCTTCCGGGCTCTACTAGCTCCAGTTTCCTGCCAACACCTACCACATGTCCTGCCATCTTGGTCAATTAGATCGCTGTGTTCTACTCAATGTGAGTGAACACTTGTGAGCACCCATCTGGGAACAAAGGCCTGAAAAGTTTCCAGACTTTTCTTCTTACTACTCTTTCCCTGCCCCTTCATCCTAAGAAAACAGGCATGAGAGTCAGAATCTGTGGGGAAATGTACAACCACCAGGGCCTCCAAACATGCCAACATCAGCCACAAAACCCAAGGTGCTCACTAAAAACGTGTCCTTGAGTGGTAGGCACCTGTTTAGCATGTGTAAAGCACTGAGCTCAATTCCAGACAACAAATAAATATTTTTAAATTTCCTTGACCCTACACTAGACATTTTTAGACTCCCTTTCTTAGAGTGGTCCAGGAAAAAACCCTCAAAGTATGACCTTTTTTAAAGTATACAGGTGCTTCGGCGGATTCTGATTGACAGGAAAACTTTCACGACTATCAGTTAACCATAATAATGATGTTACCAACCACTCTCCATTTTCTTCAGAAATGGGAGTTTACTGTAATAAAATTAAATATATACTTATGTTTATAGTTCAGATTTCAATAATTGGCTTAAATTATTTCCTGGGATTAGTAAAAAAAAAAAAAAAAAAGTAAAATCAACAACAAAAAATGTGAACACCATCAGAATTCTCTACCAGTAGATGACCATTAATAATTATGACTGGGGTCTGGAGAGAGAACTCAGCAGTTAAGAGCACTTGCTGTTCTTGCAGAGGACCCAAGTTGAGTTCCCAGCACCTACTTAGGAGCTCACAACTACGTGAACTTCAGGGGATCTAATGCTCTCTTCTGGCCTCCTCTGGCACCAAGTATGCATGTGGTGTACATATGTACGTGCAGGTACTCACATACACATAAAATAAAAATAACCTTTAAAAAAGGTACTAAAAGTAATTATGACTAAGGCAAAAATACCTAAGTAGCCCAAATAAGGGAAACACATTTGTATCTGAAAAGACTTGAAAAGCTGGTTAAAAAAATATATGTCATCAGAACCATATTTCCCCTGATTTCTAATGCAATATGTTTTTGTGAGCACAGTACATGTTCTAAAATTTAAGTAAAATATTTTTATGAACTTCATACATATTTGAAGAAAATGTGGTGATTTTCTGAGAAAAGTGTAGCTCCTTGAATCACTGAATGTAGGCAGTGACTAGCACTCAGAGGACACATCTATGTAAGAGATACCACAAGTCAGCTAGCACAGCTCTAAGTATGGCAGTTCTTTTAAAACGCAGCCCACAGTTATCTAATATCCCTAACTCACAAGCCAGATAGGTCTGGCCTTGTGGATGTACAACTCCTGAACTCCATTTTGCAGGGGGCAGTGGTCTACCTGGGGGCAGAAGTGCCTCTGTACTGCTTACTTAACCATCTTTGAACTGCCTTCCGTACAGGGAAGGAACTTGACCCTGCCATTTTGAGCTGGCTGAAGACTTTCAGGAATTGCTAAAAGGTTCCATAAAAGGTTAAACATTTCCATAACTTACGTTACAAAGATATACATTTTGAATTTTGTAATTCCATTAAGTAAAAATGGTATGACTGGTAAAAGTACGAATAACAAAATATATGGTTTAGTTTTAAAAAATGACCAACAACTCCAGAAGAAATCTTTTTAAGAAAGCAAAGTCCATGGTGTAAACTGTACCATGTCTGCATGGCCTTTGACATCAAAGAAGACTGTGAGGTTATGGTGCAGGCATTCTATGACGGCTTCCCTCAGGGTAGGGATCTTTTCATCAGGGAAATCATTCCTACGAGAGAGGAAAATGGATGGCATATAGTCCGGAAGAGAGAGAAAGGTACTGGAATGGACATTTTGCAAAATGTCTCCAACAAAAAATCAATTAACAGAATCTCTGTGGAATTAGTAACATATTAGTAACCCTATTGAAAGAGCAACTACACATACTTTTGGAGACCTCAGACTTAATTTTAAGCTAATATCATTTAATGAAAAAAACTGTGGCAAGGGGCTGGGGAAATGGGTCAGTGGTTAAGAGCACTGGCTGTTCTTACAGAGGACTTGGGTTCAGTTCCCAGTACCCACACAACAGCTAACAACTGTCTGTAACTTCAGTTCTAGGGAATCTGACACCCTCTCTGACTTCCTCTGGCACTGTACCACCTGGGTGCATTTATATACACGCAAACAATGCACTCATATACATAAAATAAAAATAAAATACATGGGCATGGGGTGCACGCCTTTAATCCCAGCACTCGGGAGGCAGAGGCAGGTGGCTATCTGAGACTGAGGCCAGCCTGGTCTCCATAGTGAGTTCCAGGCCAGCTGTGGCTACAGGGAGACCCTGTCTCAAAAAGACTGAAAATAATAAATAAATAAATAAATTAATTAATTAATTAATTAAATTTTAAAAATGCCTTAAAAAACCGGAGCAATACATAAGTCTATTAACTGTACTGTTGTATACTTATTTAAGTGCCATTGTTTAAAAGAAATAACTTTATAATGTTCTGCTAGAGAGAATGAAGATTAAGTCACTGATCTATAAGAAATCACCTTTTCTCTCATAATGAAGTTTCACTCTACATGGTTTAACTTGGGCTAATTCAATGTTACTTGGTCTTAAAAAGGAACTGGAAAGGCCAGGTGTGGTAGCATATGCTTTCCATCCCAGTGTCCATGAGGCCAAGGCAGGCAGATCTCTGAGCATCCCAGGCCAACCTGGCCTACATAGCAAGTTCCAGGCCAGTCAGAGCTACATAGTGAAATACTATCTCAAAAAAAAGGGACCGATATCTACCCCCTGAGAATGAGATGAAGCCTAAATTCTGTTACTTTGGCCAGTTTTTGTTTTGTTTTTGTTCAATCAGGGTCTCATTATGTAGCCTAGACTGGCCTAGAACTCCTGACCCTCTTGCCAAGTGGTAGGATTATAGGCACAGGCCACTACGCTTGACTGGCTAACCTTAAAATACCTATTTTCCCTGCAACAAGGTCCTAAACACAAGCTAATTACTTCATTAGGTGCCAATCACTGGAAAGGCAAGCTGTTCTAAATGTGAAGGCAACATGAGTTATGTGAAAAACATTAAGATGGTCTGATGCGGTGTCTTCTCTAAGGATTCTAAGTAATGATGCTGATCCTAAACAATTTTTGTTGTGTTAATTTTGAACCTGACACCTTAATTTTTTTAAAGAGTAAGACTTATTTTTCAAGATTTATTATTTTGAATTGTAATCACACACACACACACACACACACACACACACACAAACAAACACACACGGGGGTGTAAATGCACACGAGTGTCAGTACCCACAGAAGTCACGGCATTGGATTCCTAGAGCTGGAGTTACAGGTAATTGAGAGCTGATTACTGTGGTTATGGAGGATTGACCTAAGGTCTTCTGCAAGAGTATGGTATGTGCTCTTAACCACTGAACCATCTCTTCAGCCCTTAAAACAATTTTAAATTATAGCTATTTATTTTGGGGGAGGGTAGCATAGACATGCACAGCTGGTGTGGAACTCAGAGAACAACTTGTGGGAGGTTGGTACTTTTTCCACCATGTGGATCCTGGGGATAGAACTCGGGTTGTTAGGCTTGGTGGCAGGTGCTTTTACCTGCTAAGCCATCTCGTCAACCCTGAACCTGACATTCACTGATGGCTATTTCACTGTAGTTTTAAAACCCAGCTTTTCCTTGGCATACTGAAGAGCAATGAGGTAGCTGATGACAATGACCAGCAACTCCGGCAGCTTCAGAGGTTATAAATATTCTTTCCAGCATCAAGTACTGTTTGCTTTGGCTGATTTTAATTTCTTTTAGGTCCTGGAAAAATGAGGTCCGAATCATCTCATATGGAGGACTATAACTTCAGCACTGTGTCAGACACTCAATGCTCAAGGCATACTAATCAGTGTCCAGAGAACTGATGCTACACAAAAAAGCAACGAGCACACATTTTCCTGTTATGTTTCTTTGGTTTTTTTCAGACAGGGTCTCTCTGTAGCTCCAGCTGGCCTGGAACTCACTATGTAGACCAGGCTGACCTCGAATTCACAGAGATCGGCCTGCCTCTGCCTCCTGAGTGCTGGGATTAAAGATCTGCACTACCACACATTGTAGCACCCATTTTCTATTACTACAAAGGCAGAAGAAGAGGGATTTCAAGAACCCTCTTCCAAACACTATACCCAGTAAACTCTTCTGCAACATCTTACAAGACTAGTTATAAATATACACTCTGTTAAATAGATACCAGTTTATTCAGTAGGGGGTTAAATTAGACATCTAAAAATACCTCCCAACTTTACAGGGTTAAGAGGCATCAAGGACAACAAGAAACAGCATGGTATGGCTCATGTTTCTTTGACCTGAAACTGGAATGAGATTCTAGTCTTGGCTCCTGCATGAATTTGTCACCAACTCTTGAGCTGCTCATTTAACTTTTCTGCAATTAGTTCTAAATAGGATCAATGTCAATCTACATGGTAACCACCTATGGTTTTTACGTTTAAATCCACACTGGAATTAGCAATTCAGCCCTCAGTTGTACCAGCTATACTGGATGGTGCAGATACAAAGTATTTCCACCCAGTAATCTTTTAGAAAATCTTTTGGGCAGTAATCTTTTAGAAAATTACTAAGAAACTTTCTATCTTTACATTCTACGATTCCTCAGAAGTTTGTCACATGGATCTGAAGAGTTGGTTAGTCAAGAGTACCACTACTTGAATAAAGAGTGTATAATTTGTTTCCTGGTATACCTGCAGGTAAGGAGATTTACAAGCCATTGCTTTTGGCCTCATGATTCCATAAACAATAGCACAAAGTTTCAGTTAGTGACTTGACAGAGTATTATCATGAGAATTACCCAAAGATCAAATATTGGCTGAATGGGAACGATTAAAATTATATACTCCCTCTTTCTGTTGTTGCTGGTGTGTGCTCATTACTTGGGAAACTTGTAAGGTTGAAAACAAAACAGCTCTCCTGGAGCAGATGTAATCAGAAGGTGCCAGTATCTACATGTGATCAGCAATGAAGTCTGAAGAGCCTGCATAAGCAACCACCGATGACTTACCTGAGTCTGTGATTTGCTGCAGGGTTAAGTTTCCTAACTTGTTCAAATGTCATATCACATAGGCGACCAGTGCCGTCCGTTGTCCTATCTACTGTGTTATCGTGCATTAAGACAGGAATCCCATCAGAGGTAAACTCGATGTCCAACTCCACACCTGCTGCTCCATTCTTAGCTGCCTTAACAAAAACATCAACAATATGAATGTCAACAGCTACAAGACATCATTTTATATCTAAACACTGCAGAAAACAAACGTGAGCGGTGAAGTAGACAGCTGCTCTTGCAGGTTCCTGCCCCTTCCCTTTCCAGGCAGCTCCCCAGATCTCCTTGTTGCCCACAGATGTTAACTTTGTCTCAACTCTTAGACTTATCAAGTCCTTAAAAAGGTCCAATTTGGGGCTGGAGAAATGGCATTGACTGCTCTTCCAGAGGACCCAGGTTCAGTTCCCAGCACCCACATGGCAGCTAACACTCATCCTTAACTCTAGTTCCAGGGCATCTGATGCCATCTTCTGGCCTCTGCAGGCATTGTATGCACATGGTGCACTTGCATGTATGTAGGCAAAACACACATAAAATAAAAATAAAATCTTTAACAAAACAAAAGAAGTCTGCTCCCTTTCTTCCCCATCACAGCAGAATGAGGAGACTTCTGACCCTGGATGTGGTAACTACATGGGTCATCAATGGCTTCAAACATTCAGACAAATTCTTCTGTTTTCAGATGCTATGTTAGCAAGGACATGAGATGATTTCCCCCGTGCTTGTCCATTGGTCAGCTATTCTACTATAAACAAGGTGAGTCAGATTTTGTTCGTTCAACTCCAGCCTCTGTGAGGAAATACCATGATGGTTCAGGGACAACTGTTTGGTTGTATCTACAAAACTGGCTATTGGCCATGAAGCTGGTGAGCTTGATAAGGTATGTTAGAATTTATGTAGAAAGATAATTTGGTGCCTGTAGTGTAGCTCAGTGGTAGAGCTCCACCTAGCATGCGAATAAATAAAATTGTGACACTAAATACACTAATGTTTGCCTCCCTGGCTCCTGCATCACGATGAACATGTGAACTGCTCATTAAGATCACAATTTTTCATCCTGGCTCACTGCAAACATGTATAGTATATAGTAAAACAGACCTAAGAGATATCAAAGGAAAGAATATGAATTTTCTATTTGCCAGTCATTACTGTGTTTTAAGTGTATTAACTCATTTGATTCTCACAACAAATACTATTAAGCAAGTTCTAGTAACATCCCCATTGTACAGATAAGGAAACAGACAAAGAAAGATTCAAAAATTTGCCCAGCATTACACAAGCTAGGATGTGGCAGCAGCTGCACTCCGAACCACTGGGATCTCACTATAAATCTCACAGCTGTAGCTGAAATTCTCTGGAGAATCTGCAGAAGGAATAACCACCTCAAGCTGGTGAGTGATGTTCCCCATCACTCCCATCAGAACACTCCTGTCAAGTCTGTGTCTATTTACCTCACAGTGAAGTGCCATGAACAAACACGTAGCACCATGTTAATGTGTGGTGAGCATTCCACAAATTTCACATTGTTGTGTACTATGTTTTTTCTTTGAGATGGTCTCCTTGTAGTCCTGGCTGGGAACTCACTGGTAGACCAAGCTGACCTCAACCTCAGAGATCTGCATGCTTCTGCCTCCTAAGTGCTGGGATTAAAGGTGTGTGTCACCATGCCTAGTTACTATGTCCTTTTAAGGAGGCTGGAAGAGGGTGTGATCCCCTTGAAGCTGGGTGTTGATCCCTCTGAAGCTGGAGTTGCAGAGGGTTGTGAGCTAACTAATGTGGTTGCTGGGAAGCAAACTCAGGTACTCTACAAGAGCAACAAGTACTCCTAACCACTGAGCCATCTCTCTAGCCCCAGCCCTTGGTTTTTTGAAACAGGACTTTATTGTGCAGCTCTTGAACTCACAATCCTCCTGCCTCAGCCTCCTGAGGGCTATGATTACAGGAGTGGGCCACCATGTTCAACTATTGTCTTTTTTTTTTTTTGTCTGAGACAGGGTCTCCCTGTAGCCCCAGCTGGCCTGGAACTCACTACTAGACCAGGCTGGCCTCAAACTCAAGAGATCCACCTGCCTCTGCCTCCTGAGTGCTGGGATCAAAGGTGTGCGCCACTACACCTGGCATTCAGCTATTGTCTTTTGAGTGTTTTATTAAAAGACAAAACAAAAGATTGTTTTTTTAAATACCACATTAGAGCTTTTGAGATAAGATCTTCTAATGACCACACTCAATTTTCCTTGCCGGTACCTAGTTCAAGTAGAGATGAGAAGATGAACCCTTAGCTCTAATTCACATGAAAAGTTCCAGGGAAGGACTGCTCTAGGCAGAAGAAACAGCAAACAAAATACTAAGGCCTAGCTGGGCATGGTGATACACACCTTTAATCCGGGCACTTGGGAGGCCAAGGCAGGCAAGATCTCAGTGAGTTCAAGGTCAGCCTGGTCTACATAGCCAGTTCTAGGCCAGCTGGGGCTACAGGGAGACCCTGCCTCAAAAACCAAAAACCAAAAACAACAAGAGGAACACAATTTTTTTAACATAGTAAAATATCTAAGAAGATAAATTATGAGTCCCAAGAGTGAAGAGATGAAGAACAGGCCAGAAAAAAAAAAAAGGAATCCAACTTGATAGAAATTCTTTTGAAGTTAAGAAGGAAGATATAGCCTTGTCCTCTGTAGTTGGTATTTGGCAGCTAAGTGCTGTCAGGGCTAAAAAGATGGCCTACAATGACCTGACATTCCAGCAAGCTCAACTGCCATGTGCTGTTTCCTCTTCAGACCAGAAACCACTCTGGCACAATGCTACAGTCACTGTAATTGCACATAAGGCATGTATCCACTGTGAATGCAATGCAGTCATACCCACACCACAACAGGCTATGAAACACTATGTGTACTCCACATACATGCTTCCTCCCTCATTCATTTCATGCCATTCACATTAGGCACACACTTTTGGCCAAATCACATCCATCAGTAAATACTTATGAATACCTTCTGTACTCATTTAACCTTGAGTATCTTTTAAGGTAGTTTATATAAATGTTAAGTTGAAATGGAGCCAATGACCAACATATGCTTTTCTATAGTTCGGAGCACCTTTCTTTTGTGACACTAAACCTCTTGTTTACCTATATGACTTCATCTAACTCCTAGTTCAGCACCTTGCATTTTAAACAGGAAGCTGTAGAAACTTCCCTTACAGTCTCCTATCACAAAGAAGGAACCAATAAGAGGGAAGCAGATGAGTTTAAGTTGATCATACGCACACAATATGGCACTCTCCACTGTTATCTTCCAAATGTCCTTTCTTTCTATTTACTTGCTTGTTTATTCTTAGACAGGGTGTCACTATCTTGCCCTGGCTGGCCTGGAACTCAGAATGTAGACCAGGCTGACCTTGAATTCAGAGATTCACCTGCCTCTGCTTCCAGAGTGCTGAAATTAAAGACATGTACCCCATACCCAGCTAGATTTAATTTACCTTTAATCTAGAGTGGTCTTAAGAATCAAGCCATTCTTATAATCTTGGTAAATAGCTCATATGTGTGGAGAGCTCACAAGGATTTAGTTTATGTGGATTAGTTCAGACTCCTCATCACCGTTTCATAGACATTACTATTAATCTCACTTTACAAATGAGGAAATTGAAGTCGGGGCTAAGAGTAGAGCAAGGAGCAGGGTCAGGGCATCCTGCTTGCACTCTGTATTTTCTTTGTCTGGCTAAAGGACAGACAGTATTATGTAATGAGCAAGTTACTTAAATTGGACAAATATAGTACAAAGTCCATATCTGTACAGTCTAGAAAATATTCAGAGTCCACATTCATACATTCCAAGAAATATTTAAATCCATGACAAAGAGTACTAGGTCTTGCAATCAGAAGACTTTTTTCTAGAAAACTGTGTGTCTGAGTCACAATTTTCCCTGTAGTCAATGCTACCGTAATGTCTAGAGCAAGCCCATTTTGCACAAAGTAGTCACCTTAGAGAAGCAGCCAGCTCAAGGTCTGAACTTAGTTCCAGTAAGTCACCAACCCCCCAGAAGTTTGGTGGGGTTTTTTTGTTTTGTTTTTTTCAGAAATGGCTGACCACAGAAATATTGCCACCCAGACATGGCAGCTATGTTTCTTGCCCACCCAAGGGAAAATGACCTACACAATAGCCTGTCTTTCTTGATAATATGCTGAAATAACAATAATCAGAAAGCTCCTTACTGTCAAGGTCTCTATACATCTGTTAAGAAAATGACTAACAATTGCTTGTTTTGGCTTCTGTAAACTTGCTTATTGCTGCAATTAAGGGTCAGTGTGACCCACTGTTCTTGCAACTGCCAATACCACAGGAATGAAGCAGCTCGTGGTTTTTGTCTTTAAAAGATTCCCTTCCCCTCCCAGCTTGGTGGCAGACTTACTTGTCTGGCCTCTGGAGACTGTCAGCCAGCTGCAGCACTAATAGAATTTGGCTAATTAAAATCTGAATTGGGTCTGGGGGTCTTTTCCTGGTGGTCTTGAATGCCATAACACTAATGTCTCAAATGACAAGATGAGATACACAGCTGTCCTTTGGTTAGCATGGGGGATTGGTTCCAAGATGCCCAAGTCTGTTGAAGTCTCTTGTATTAAAAGGTACAGCAGGGCTGGTGAAATGGGTCCAGCAGGTAACAGCTCCTGACCAAGCTTGATCCCCAGGACCCACAATGTGGAGGGAGAGAACAGACTCTCACAAGTTGTCCTCTGAAGTATATGTGCTCACTCACATACACACTAAATAAACAAACTGTAATTTAAAAATAAAGGTGTAGTATTTGCATATATCCTAGGAATATCTCCCCACACCTCCAAATCAACTCTAGAGTTTTTCTAATGCCTAAACTATGTAAATAGTTAAACTGCAAGTCACTATAGACACTTTTTTATAACTTTTTGATCCACAGTTGAATCCATGGATGCAAAATGCACATGAGTGTTGACCGTAGTTACAGAGGCAAAAGTGCCCAACCCACCGAAATGCTCTTGTGCAGACTGCCAAGAACAGAGCGATATCAAGATCCTCAGGGGTGCCTTGTGGAAAAGGAAGGCAAATATTGACCAGGAGTCTGGCTGCTGAATATGTGTCTGGAGAGGGGTGATAAGGAAATGACCCAAGAAATTTAGAGGAGAAAAAAAGACACCCATGAGAAGGGTGAATTAGAACCATATTAGAACTGACCAAGACCCCATTTGACTTGGTTCATTTCTTCCTTCATTCACACACTGGATTTTGTTCTCCAGAAGTCAGGGCCACATACCAACCTCGTATTACTACTCCAACATCATTCCCACCTTAGGACCTTTACACTTGCTGTTTGTGTTTCCTAGAACATCTTTCCCACAGATATAAGGCTGGCTCCTTATAATTCTAGTGTCAGTTCAAATAACACTTGCTCAGAGACTTCTCTGACGAAAACTTCTCCTTTCCACTTCTTCCTTCACTACTCCATTACATCATTGCACCTTTTCCTCAAAGTGTAAGTGCTATCTCCCCCAACTCTGATGCCAGCTGTGGGAAAGCAGCCTTGTTCTCGACTGTCACCCCAGGATCGGACACATAGTGAAAAATAAATAACTGCTAAATTCTAGACTCTGGGCAGGATTGGGGGCCAGGGTGTGGATGAGTGGGGGAAGTGGCAAAGCAGGCCCGGGGGAGGAGCCCCACTCAGGGACCCCCGGGAGGAGGAGCCCCACCCAGGGACCTGTCCGGCGACCCGCGGGGGCCGAAGGCAAGCGGGACTCACCTGCCGGATGGCGGCCAGCGTGTTCTCGGGCGCGTCGTGGCTGCCGCCGCGGTGGGCGATGGCGGACACGCGGTCGCGGGGCTTGAGCACCTGCAGGGCCCGGCGGGACGGCACCGGCTCGAAGCTGAAGAGCCGCAGCAGGACGTAGAGGCTGCCTGTAAGCAGGCAGGCGTTGAAGGGGCTGCGCGTTACCAGCAGCAGCAGCACCAGCAAGAAGGAGAAGGGGCCCAGGAGGCCGCCCTGGTTCTCCCACAGCCACATGCCGGCGCCCGCACCGGCACGGCCCGGAGCCCCGGACCCGCCGGGTGACACCGGGACTCCGAGGTACTAGCCGCAACCGGAACCCTGGGCTGGGGATCTGCGCGGCACTATGGCGCCGACGGACCCACTTAAAGAGAGAGCCGGCCCTGCAGCCAATCCGAAGCCCAGAGCCTCAGCTGAGGGCGGAGCCCTAGCTGGGGCTCCCCCTCCCGGGTGCGGGGGCGGGGAGGATGGGCGCTGCCATGGCAACTAGGGCGGGCCCAGGCCCCGGGCTGGGGTTCCAAGGCTCTTTGGGTTCTGTGAGTGACGTGAGGTCAGGACTTCCTTCCACCTTGGCCTGCAGACTCGGTACAAGGAGGGGGAGATGACGGGGAAGGGTTCCTTCGTGCCCTTGTTTGACCTTGAGGACACTGAAGGCTTGGGTGACTTTGAAGGAGCAGGACATTTTACTTGTTTATTCAAGATGTGCCAAACATTGGTTCAGTTGCTAGTGGTTTTGGAATTGTCTCTGACAGAGTCTAGATTCCAGCAGCCTTAACAAGCTTGGCTTGGCCAAACGTCCTCCATGGGCCAATTAAATAGAGACATAATAGAAGCAGAAAAAGGACATTTACTCAATGTTGCCACCCTATATAGACCAGGCTGGCCTCAATCATCATAGAGATCTACCTGCCTCTGCCTCCAGAGTGCTGGGACTAAAGGTGTGAGCCACCACACCAAGCCCAATTTCAGGGTTCTGACATGAAGCTTGAGTAGAGGGTAAAAGGTATGCATAACTAAGCAGTCCTGGGCAAGGTGTGGTCTTGCCCCACACTGACACATTATGTCTCAGCTCCATTCTGCCCAGCAAGGTGGTCTGACAAGTTGTCAGGACTGTGTGAAATCTCTTTTCCAAAGATAAGTTCCTCCTCTGGCACTAAGCATTAGCCTTTTCCTCTTCCTAATATGAGACTCCTAGGGAAAATTCCAATTCTTTGGGTCAATTGCCTCATAATGATAGGCAGAAGGGAGAGGCACAGGTGTCTCTACAGATTAGCTTCATTCCCACAGGACTGTTACATTGGGACTCACAGGGTGACTGCTTTTAATAGGATTACTTTTTGCTAAGTGAAAGTATCAGTGAAGCAGGATATAAAGACCCAGAAAGGCAGGGTCTGGTGGCACACACCTTTAATCCTAGCACTCAGGAGGCATAGGCAGGCAGGAGTTCAAGGCCAGCCTAGTCTACATAGTAAGTTCCAGGTCAGCTGGGGATATAGGGAGACCCTGTCCCAAGAAAGACAAGAAAAAAAAAAAAAATTCCAGGCAAACCAAGGTTGCATAATGAGAACCTGTCTCAAAACACACACACACACACACACACACACGCACACGCACACGCACACACACACACACACACCAAAAACAGGTAAATTTAGGGGATATGGGAAGAGAAAGGATCCCTGTCTAGGAATATGTGGCCAGAATTCCCTCTGGGTCTCCTGCACTATCAGACAAACCATATAATTTATGTGCATTTATTAACTTACAAAGGAATGAGAACCCAGTGCCTAGCCCTGCGCCTCTGGCGGCACGGCTCAGAGCCTGCCATATCAGACCGCATTGTTGTACCTCATCCACTGGACCCTAAAAAGACCACCAAGGACACAACACACCAAAATGCAAAAGCAAAGGTTTATGGTTTATTTGGGCTTAAGCTTGGGCTCTCAGACCTCACCAACTCAACAGATCCGTGCTGAGAGCCCAGAGTAAGGGAGAGTGGAGACTTTTATAGGTCTTAGACAAAGGGGA